AATTGTTTATCATTTAATATTAATTTAACTTTTTTATTTTAAAAAAAGAATATTTTTATCGATAAGATATTAAAATCCAGTAAAGGTTAATTTTCAAGGTACGAAAGTAGCATCGAAAAATATGTAGGTAAACAAAAATCTCTTTAATAGCAAAATTGCTGTGACTTATGTAATTTAATTTATTCTATTGATAGCATCGATGCAATTCTTGTGGTTGATCTCGTTATACAATTGCAGTTGCCACATGGCTACTAAGATGTCAGACGCTCAGTAAAGATTCACGTCTGCTTAATTTAATTTCCGGCAGAAAATCAAGGACTAAAGAATATACACTAGTCAACAAAATTAATTGCCAATAAATTAACGCAACACCTCTTTCACTCTGAAAAAATAGGCAAATTTGAAGATAGAATAACTTCTTCAAAAATCGTCGTATTGAAATGTTTAAAAAAGCATTTTACAGCTTGAAACCTCTACTTTTCAGATTGCTACTTTAAAGAACGGTCTCACGGAGATTTTATGAAGTTGCATAAACATAAATAAAGATATATCACAGATCTCAAAATTTTTTACGAAATTGAGAATTTCCACGTCGCGAACTAAAAATTGTGCCCAAATACGGTTTACAGCTTTCGAAAAACTGAATCTTTATCTTTAATTTGTTTTTTTTCGATCTTTGTATAATTTTCTTTCACCGAATTATTCAACGTTGAAGCAAAAGAATCATTTTTGCTGTAAAATGCTTTTTTGAACATAGCGATACGACGATTTTTGAGGAAGTTATTCTATTTAGAAATTTACCTGTTTTTACAGAGTCAAACAGATGTTCCATTAATTTGTTGGCTAGTGTATATTTGTAAGTTTTATTTCTAATATCCTAAATCAAAAAGAATTAAAGAACCCTTTGTTAACACACACACACATACACACTTCCATAAATTTCATTATTATTATATATGGTATAACGAGGTTACATCATTTACATGTGTATATGTAATAACAATAATTTATTTTGATTTTTTATAACTTTAATTTTTTAAATATTTCACTATTTCGACATATTTTGTTATTTGTTTTACAAAAAGATATTGTGATACTACTTAAATACAATTGATAACAGCAACTTTTGTTTTGAATATAGATTTTTATAAGTCGTCTATATTACATATGATGATCTTTCTATATAGCGATACATTACTATAATTTTATGAAACTATTTTCCTGTTCGTTAGAATTATATTTCAATATTAATATATTACTGCCTTATAACAAAAAATACAAAGTTATTTTGTTATCTATTTTCGATATTTTGTAGGAATTAAATCCGAATTCTATTTTTTGTAGAATCAAATTTTTAAAATCAGAATAAGGAATAGAAAGAAGGAACTTTAGGTTTAATGCAAACTGCAATTAAATTTGCGTGTTAACTGTGCATCAATATTTTAATTCAAAATCGTACAATAAGTTTCAATGTTTTTACAAGCATCCACGAAAGATTTCATTTTTAACGGTGATTCAACTACACGTGGAATTACCATTGGCATTCTGTTCAGATCTTATCTCAGTAAACCATGAACCACTTGGAAGGGAGAACGCGTGTGGCTCCTCTGGCTCTCTTCAGTGCACAGTTCCGCGTGCGGCATGCACAACCGAAAGTGTCAAACGGAAATCAAGTGTTTCAGTTTCCTGTGTTTATTTGGAAAAGTGAAAGCGTTGTGACTGTGAATCGTGCATATTAATGGTAATAGTAGTCGCGAAAATAATTAAATTAGTTTTATCAGCATAATTCATTAACCAAACCGGTAGATAAGTAAAATTGATGTCGTTTTAGTCAACAGTATCTAATTGTAATCTACGTATATATTATATTGACAAATTTACTTGTGAGTACTCTTGATTCCAAATTAATACATTTAATTTTTATTTCCGCGTAATATGTATTCATAATGAATGCAATTTATAATAAATGATTGCGTACTTTGTATTTTAATAGAATAGAATTAAAACGTATCAAGAATAATTTATTGAATACGTCTCGCTATATAGCAATTAGCATAAAAGTTAATTTCTTTTATAAAATGATAAAACAATTAATGTGATTTTTATTGCAAAGAAATATCTTTGTAATGTACACGTATATGAAATTTTAATACAGTAAACACAAAAAAATGAAGTGATCCTGAGAAATTTTGGTTACACCCGAAAAATTGATTTTTTAATCCTGTTTCTCTTTGAAATTTTTCTCGGTAATTGATATGAACTTAAAGATATATTGAAATCGAGAGAATTTATTTAACATACAAATAACATGCTTCTATGTTAACTTTTCCATTAATTTTTAAGTTATTCAATTTTAACTTATTAATTCAAGTTATCAATTCTAACTTTATGTTTTTATTAAAGCATATTTTATTAATAAAAAAAATCTAGTATATTTTTGTACATATATATATGTTTATTCGTGTTTCAAAATTCTCTTTCTTAGATATCACTGTAAGTTAAAATACAATTTTCTTTTAAATTGATCTTACACGTACCTCGTTTAAAATTTCCTTTAATTTTATTATTGTATCGATTTCATCCTTGATCTTTCTAAATTGTTACGTATGAGTAATAAAATTTTATGTAATTATTAGCACACGTACTCTTGTTATCGAATGTTCAAAGTTATTCGACACTTCGGTATATTTTTAGAAAATACAAAGCGCTCGACGAAAATAAGTCACTTGGTGCGCGGAATTTCCTGAACGGATCTATTTCGTCAAAAGTGTTATTACGACGTCAATACAAAAATAATATGAAAAAAATTATTTTTTAAAATGTTATTTAATCGTTACATTTATGTTAATTTTTATAAGTTCATTAATTTAGAATATATGTATTAATTTGTTGTTAATTTTCTTTTCGTTTGACTCTTACAATGTCATTTTCATGTTTATAATGTTTTTAAAGAAAGAGTCCTTTATTTGTTCTATTTTTGTTTTTAAAATAACGTAAATGATATGGTTTATTTAATTTATATATACATATTTAGTAATTTATATAAATCTGTATAAATGTCTGAGATGTGTACTACTTTTTGCTGTAGAAATATATATAGTAGGGACTACTATATACACTACTTATTTTGTGTAACATAATTAGTTATTAACTTGCACACGTTAAAAGTTGAATTATTAGCTGTTGTAATAATAATGTATGTTCTAATGATATTGATTTGATCCAAATAAAGTGTAATTTTTTCTTCTAGATATACAAAACCGTTAAATAAATTACAAATAGTGATAAAAATTATCAGAAGCATTACATAATCAACATGGATTTTTGCAAACAATTCAAGTTTCTGTATATAATACCGCTCACAGAACGAGTAGTTTGGTCCTGGCGAGCTGGAAATGGCACAGTATTCCAGGTACCGGAAAATAATCTGCACTCACCGTCCGGATGTCTCATTGAATTGACAAACCTTTCCATTGCTGTTCTCACCATATTCGTTGCCGCATTTTTAATTTTCAAATACAAATGCAGTACGACAGACAAGTAAGTTGACAAAGAGAAGAAATCATCATATTGAAGCTGTAATTAATTGTTATAACTTTGACTGACATCCATCAATATTTTATATTTATAGATGTCAATCAAACGTTATAAAATTTAAATTTTATTCACAATTTAGAGCAATTATTCCACTTGTTTAATTAAATGAACAGAAATGTCGCTTGAACGATATATTTATCAGACATGAGATCTTAATATTATAATTAACTAACTAGAAAGATAAAATTTTTTGGACATTAATCGTAATTGATCTGATACAGATATTAAATGAAACGCAAATGATCCTTCAAGATGTTACTCAAAATTACTTAATTGAAATAAATTTTAATTACATGATAAACTACTTTATTTATTTGGGAATACCCCATGATTCAAGCGAGATGTTTCTGTCAAGAAATTTGCTCCATTTGATACCACAAGGTATATAAACCGCAATAAGTTATTAAATTTTATATTAAAATTATCCGTTATCCTTCTAATATCCGAAACACAACGCATTTATCACCTTTCTGAATTATATGTATTCTGGCAAAATAATTATATTTTTAATGTTACATTTTCGAAGATTGGTATTATTCATCATATTGCAAATTATAATTGTATTTTACGGTGCAACGTCAGGATAATTAAATATACAATAATAATTGCAATAATTTATTGTATATAATACAAACAAATAAATATCATTAATTGAATCTTGTTAATAATAAACTTACAGTCTTTTCTTTCTTGGAATTTAATTTTCTAATTATCCTCTCTTACCAGATGTTGAAAATAATTAATGGAGCAAGCTTCTCAGAAAAGCATACTGATTATTTTTCTCCGCTGAAGCTTTCGTGGCACATAGTAACGCAGTTTTATAGATGTAACAGATCACAAATAGATCAATTCTCTAATATTTTCGCAACGTGACTCAATAGTTTATTTGCTCGGAATATAACACGAATAACGTTTAACTTATTGCATAATACTCATTGCGTATTTATTGTAAAATTTTAAGTTTATGTATTGTATATCGATACCACGTATGATTATAAACGTTTAATAAATGTAATGTTATTAAGAGAGCAAAAGAAAAATTATCTCTTGTCCTGTTTAAGATTTGTATAGAAACTGTTTTATTGACTGTAAAAAAAGATTTATTGTTATCTCTTAAGTTTTTTATTTAAAAAATTTTATAATAATTAAAACATAAAAAAAATGTCGGTTTATAATAAATATATAAATATTCTTTTTTATTGTTAACAACTAGGATATTTTTACTATACAATGTTTATTGCTCTTACTATGGAATATTTTAGTACCATAATATGTTACAATATTTAGTAAATGCATGTGAAATAATTATCAAGTCTTATCCGGCAATTATCTTTCGCGTACTTAAGTACTATGTATTATAATAACATGCGCGCGTGTTCCTATAGGGCGTGTATAATTTTTGTCGTATGGAAATGAAGCAATCCCGTTAATCGCAATCGACGTACCTCATCGACACTGCTAGCGTTTTCATTACATTATGGGTAATTAATGAAACGGAATCCCGGTATGCACTCGTGCGTAAAGAAAAACGCGCGCCTCGTATTAATTACGGGAATAATTTATAGCAGGTTGAAGCTCAGATTTCTCTCTCTTTCTCTCTCTCTCTCTCTCTCTCTCTCTCCTAGAATAAGTGCACTCACTTTATAGGCACTTATACACTTACATGATCGCCGGCTTATGTCGTCGCTGTTTGAAAATTATTAGTTGACTGGCGGGTAAATTTATTCCTCTCTCGCTTTTTTTTTTTTTTTTTAATTTTTATACACTAATATTCTAAAATCATTAAACGTTTTATCAAATTTCTTATTTGTGATATTTTATAATATACATATGTTAAATTTTATTATATTGAGTCGAAACAGAAGTTTGTAGAGCTGCAAGCTTTAAAATTCAAATAGTTATAATATCATTGGAAACAGATAAATTTTAAAAGTTTTAAAGCGCAAAATATCAAAAGATTACTGTGTTTCTTAAGTTTTTGTAAGTTCGGTAATTTTTATATATAGAAAACTACGAGCGGGACAAAATAAAAAGTATTCTTTTCAAAAAAATTTGCAAACATTTTTGACATAATTTCTAAAAGGACTTTATTTATTATTCTGCTTTTCATCAAAGAACTTCAGTTTCAAAACATTTTTTAAAAATTTAGTTTCCTTAAATTTAATAGAAACTCACATTAATAAATTGTATTCATTTTTAATCTTTTTGCTCTCAGTTTCATGAAATGTTTGAGCATTTATATTTTAACTATTGTGTTTTTTTCGAAGAAAGTAAAAATGAAAACATACCGGGAATATCGTAGACACAACATACGCGACTGTTACCGTTTACTTTGTTATTGTAAATTTGCAATAATATTACATACCACACGCGCGCGCGCGCGTGCACACACACACACACACACACACATCAAATTGCGAAAAGGGTAATTCTGTAATTATTCGATTTATTGCTTCCTTCTGTCTCGCTATCATACATCAAAAGCAAACTTGTTTCGAGTTTATACGTTCGTTTACAAATTAACTAACCGAGAATACACCGCTCGCCATTATCATAAAATTAACAACAAGCTACATAAATAGAGAGAGAGAATCTTTAGTATAATTAATCTTTAGTACAATTAAATTTTCAGTGAATCTTTTCTTTTTTTTTTTTAATAAAAATAAAAGTAAATATATGAAATATCACACGCTATATACACCTTTTTATTTTAGCAAAAGGAATTACGATTCGATAATTACTTACATGCTTATTAATATTATAGTTTGCATTCACTAATATATATACTTTAGTTTTAATTCAACTTATACACTAATACAACATCAAGTATCTGGAAGCATGGTGTAAATTGATGTCAATGACGTCACTAGAACAACATAACGATAGACTCGGGAAATTGCAAGCGAAATGACTCAGAGGCCATTCAGGTTTGTTAAGGCGCGTACAAACCCAATCCCTTACTCATCATATACATTTAC